GTATATTTCTCGACGTCGTCCATCCGTTTGTAACATTCGGCTAGCTCCAACTGTGTTTGCACTGCCAAGTGATGCCATCCTTCGTCCATATAAGTTTTTAAAGCATCAGATAAAAACGCTACAGCTTTCTGATTTTCTCCGAGTTCGCTGTAGAATCGTGCCAATTCTTTGCCAATTAATCTGGCTGATCGAATACGGCCGACATGTTTGTATGTGCCCATGGCTAATTCTGCATGCTCCAAATACTGTTTCTTAAATGCTTCTTTTGATGAAAGTGCCTCTTTTAACTTGTCTGTAGGGGTTAATTTTCTTTCTACCTGCGGCTCTGAATCTCCTATACCTGCTATAAGATACACAACTGTATGCAACTGTTCACTAGTCGGTTCACTTCCTGGCATTAGGCCGCACAATTTTCCTAAGCTTCCTAACTAAAAAAGAAAAATATACACATAATACGATATATATAAAAAACATATGTAATAGAAATAATCCAAGGAGGATTACATGTCATTTAATTATTTATTAGCAAATAATAAATAAATAATGTCAAACATAATATAGCAAATTATTTACCTTGTCTCTTGCAAGTGCCCATAAGCTAGCTGTATGTAAAGAGCACAAGTCTAATTGTTGATTGTTATCGATATTATTGGTGCACAATTGACATGCTTGCAAGACCTCTAACGCACAGAGGAATGACCAGCATTCTATAGAGCCCTCAGGTTTCTGTACCTCTAAGATTCTTAGCTCACTTAATGTATTATGAACAAACGATAAGCACCTTTGTGCAACCTGTCAAGAATATTCAGTAACAATTATAAAATATGATAATTATATGAAGCTATTAATTACCAATAATTTGTTGAATTTATACGAACCTCCCAAGGTTTATTAAGCAGGAGTAGCATGGCACATTGTCTACTAAACAAATAACTCCTAAGATCTAATAAAGATGCCCTACATTCAGCCAAAAGAAACCTCAGACGATGGTTTGTACCATTATTTAAATTAACACCTCCCCAGTTGTTCAGAGGCGTTTGAAACAGACCTAACCATCCTGGAGTATCTATAAACAGTTTATCTACATTTAGGTTTTCACTTTGCATCTCAATATCAGTTCTCATTACATAATGTACATTTTTAATACAAACTAAATATTTAAAAAATGAACCACAATACCTCCTACATTAGAATTGAGCACAAACTGTGTAAAGAGAGCGTCTAGTTCATCATACTGCACCAATGCCTCATCGTACAAACCCAACATTTGCAATACAAATGCTAATTCTTCCTAAAATGCCAATTCAATTGAACAGGGAAAAGTACAAGTTTCAAAATTAATATTAAAAAATTCAGAGGGTAACACGTCGTTCCATAGAGAGCGATCAATTCGTCAATGAGTCTGGAGTTTAATCTTAACCCTCATCTCACAGATATTAGTTACTAGTTAAGTATATTTTCTTTTATAAGAGATTGGAAAACTGAGGATGAATATATTATGAGATATTATAAATGAAAAAACATTAGATATATTATAATCGGGAATTCATATTTTATTTAACATTTAACTTTATGAGATAATTCAGTAGAAATAAGAATTTGTAGCAAGTATTATATTACCTGTAAAAGAAAATAATGGCAGAAATTCCAACTAGGATTGTTCCGCCTTTCTCGCTGTTCACGTATAATATCTTCAAAACGCGACAGGGTTCTGTCATATGCAGTCAACATCAAATGACGAATACGAGTTATCAAGCCTCTCCATGATTCCGCGGAACGAGATTCAGATTTAATTGGATTAATTACAGCAAAGCATCTGTCAAACAGATTATGGATATAAATACATTTCTATATTATATGTTACAAGAATAAATATAAAAGATCATATCGTATTACCTGTCACCATTTTTAGCGGCAAAGTCACTTCGTATTTTATCTAAGACAGTAGTCCTAGGCAACAATTTATTGGCCTTCTTTACATCATATGTTTCTACCAATACAATCATCCAATCTTGAATATGATATAAATTCAGTATTTTTAACCAGGCATCAATATCATCTCTGACACTAGTCTTATAAGTATCAACATCCTAGAAGAATATGTAATATGAAAAGTTATTTGTTAAATTATTAACAACATAAATATTAAATATTGTAATCTACAGATGCTTCTAATATCATAATAACTTTTTATTTAAAATAATTTAATGTTATTTAATAAATCTAAAATGTAATTTTTAATATATTTTTAATGTAATAAATGAAAAACATATCATTCCATATATACAAATATGTTAGGTATATGTAATAAGAAACTAATTCAAATGGAGGACTTACAGAACATTCTGTCCAATAAATATGAAAGATTGGTTGCTTTATCAGATGCCAATCTTTGTCAGTAGGCAAAATATCTCTGGAAAATGGCACAAAAGTAGCCCCAAGTTTGACTTGTTTAATTGGCCTGCTGAACGACCGGCGCCATTCCACTGTATCCGTAGGTATAGCTTGGAGTAAATTCTTTTCCAACGTAGAAAACAAATTTTCATCCCCAGCACCTGCATCACACAAAACATTATTGTATTCCAATTCTATGTCACCTGCTTTGAGAAATAAAACAGCACATTAGCATAGGTCGGAATGACATCCTACGTGTATTGAATTACTCATTTGTGTTATAAGAACTGTTGTAAAGTCCACTTTGTACGTTTGCTACATGAATAGGCCTCTTTTTAGCTAAACTTTTTGCATCTTTTCATTTTTTTTCTTCAATATAAAGAGAAAAAGAGGAAAAATGAACCATGCAAAAAGTTATGTTGAAAAGAACAAGCCTTAAATTAAAGTTATGTGATATCGATAGCAAGAATTAAGGGAATTAGGCAAAATACTAAATTAAGTCTTACAAGATATTAAATTATCTAAAACAACATAATAATAATAATAATTCGCATGATGTATTTTCTTGATGAAAACATGAAGTTGACATATGTTCCTTAAGAAAAGGAAAATCCAGAGGCATTATTAATGCTATAAATTTGATTCGGACATTGATTATATCTCGGTTGGATAAAAAGAAACGAGAAACACACTGTCACGAGGATTGACAGATGGACGAGGGGGGCGTCAAGAACGGTGCCTGAATGTCGCGTTATCAGCGCGACACGGAGGGGAGGAGCGGGGGACAATCGCGGTGGAACTCACAGGTGACGATCGGTCTGCTGTCCACGGAAGCGCCCGCCTTGCATGCCTCGCCAGCCACGGACGATCCCCCATTGCAATTCATCGTTTCTGAGGACTGGCGGTGCGCCTCGCGAACTCGCTGCTCCCGATCGGGCCCACGGTCATAACTCCTCGTCCCTCTCTCGCCGGCGCGCATATAGGAACCCTCCGCCAAGTCGCTCGGGGATCCGGGTTTCACCGAACCCGCCGCGAGCGGACAGGTGACTCTAACTAGCGTGGTCTCAGAGGCGATAAAAAGACGAGCCGAACGTCCATAAGCATCGTTCACCTCGCACTCTCGAGCTCCATTGAGGTTGGGAATGTTGGGATACTTTAGACATCTGTTCCTTATACTGCGCTGATTTACACTTTCCGCACTTGAAACGCGAGAGAGTTTCGCACGATTACACACGTCGAAGTGAGAAAGAGAAAGGACGAGGAGTGCGGAAAGTGTAATTGTTGCGATGTGCCGTTTCGTATCGATTCGTGGAAAAGCGGAGCTCTCGATATATCGTGTCGTCGCGATATTCGTCGTTTTTCAACACTTCCAATTGGCTGTGCGTTTACCGAAGTGACATGACCTTTGTCGTTTGTTTATATTCTCTGCACCTACACTTTTCATTTTTCCTTTTCTCTTCAACGCTAAATTATATGTATCCATCCCGTTTTAAGTGCAGAAAGTGTAATGACGCAGTGACAATTTCGCTCGTTCGTTTACTTCGTTTCACTCATGGTATAAGGATAAGGGTATGCTCACGCCGTGGATACCCACTGCGCAGTCAAAGTGTGACGTCACTCTCAGGGCCAATCAGACCGCCCAAACGAAAACATGGCGGCTCCTGATGCTTGACACGGTATTAATGGTCGGTGTTACATACACAATGTCCTGTTCTGTGAAAGGTTGTGGCAATTATTTTCGCAAAACAAAATTGCTTAATGGAAACAGTATAAAATATTGCTGTAGAAAATAGATATAAGAATAAGAGAAAAAAGTTAATGAAATTTACAAATAATAAATCCTTTTCATAACATTTGTATATACGTGTTATTATTATTGTTGATATTTAACTATTCCCATAAAGGGTAACCTTAGGACCTGCGCATAAGAGAGGAAATATTAGAAATAGATATTAAATATAAGATAATAAATAAATTAAATATAAGATAATAAATTTCATAATAAATTCTTCTATCTTTATTGAGTTTGTAATGTTTACTTATGTTACATTTTGTTACAGGATATTCATTAGTTCTTAAATTATTTCAAAACGTATTTTTCCCTGTAAACTTTAAATAAAAATAAAATATCTGACGAGAATGCTGCTAACATAAGTTGGTTGGAAACAGCCAACTTTTAAATTTACCGCTTGTTGTGTGACGTCACACTTCGACAATTTTGATTGGTCGCATGCGCGTGAGCATACCCTTATCCTTATACCATGGTTTCACTTGAATACAGTTAAACGTAGTATTCTATTCAATTCCTCTTGAAATATTTTTCACAGTTGATCGTTCTGAGAATTGTGCTTCTTCGCGATGACATTGTCATACTGTTTAAACTAAACGTGAAAGTTTGATACATTTTTCTTCTCGTGATATTTTTACTTTTAATTACGAGATATTTTGCAGCAGTTTCATTGACTTGCATCACTTTGCACTGCGTATTTGTTTGAATTCCAATTTTTCCAATTCTTTTTTAATTCCTTATACCAAGTTTTCCCTTAATTTTGCATAAAATTTGAAACGGGCATATACGATTGTCAAGAGATAGCAGTTATAATATAATACATTTTACATAACCTTTCGCTATGCCGGTTTCAGTCAAAATGATTGTTCCGTTTTAAAAAATTTAATAAAAAATATGATCCCAAGAAATTTAAAAATACCAGGCGATGTGGTCCCTTCGAAGAAGGAAAGTCAAGGGTATATCGATGATTTAAAAAAGAAAGAGAGATTTCAGTTGGAAGAGCTTTTAGAAAGGCAGAAAAAAATTCTTGCTAATAAGTAGGTAGAACGTAAACTATTGAATCTCAACGTTTTGAACAATCCTGAGCATCTCGTTTTTTTCAGAAAATTTATCTCAAGACTTCCCGACAAAGGAGAGAAAATTATAAGCTTCTACAATAATATACAGAAGGAACTCGAACACAGAAATGAAGTGGAAGAAGCGGCTAATGTACTGTCGCGGCTTAACATAGCATCCGAAGGCAAAGTGGCTATGATTAAACTGGAATGGACAGGAAAATATAATGAAAGGGATAAGGAAAATATGAAAATCATTGACTTTGATAGTGATGACGAGGAGGATCCACTAAAAATACTAGCACAGGTTGATAGATCTTACTTATAACATTGGTAATAACTTTCGTTAATTGATATTTATATATGGTTTATTATGTTTTAACAGCCTACAGGAACTGGTGTCCACAAGAAGAAAATTATATGTATGGTACTTGAAGAAAGCTTCATCAAACCTGAAGACATAGCAGAGATTGAAACCTTTAAAACAGATCCTTTAGACACAGAGCATGTCAAGTATATTGTTGATAAAGTAGAGAAGGTACAGGAAGTGAGAAAAAGGGAATCATTTAAACCATATAAAACAACAAAGAGCAATGTACATGATCCAATGAAGGAAAAACAAAGAAAATTGCATAAATATTGGGAAGTCACGGCAGCTACACCACCTCTTATAGTTCACGGAGCAGCTAAGGTTCTGAGTTTGAACGAATCTTTAAAATTACAGAAGGAACAAACTGAAAAATTACAGGTATTTGACATTTTCTATTTTTTATATCTTCATTCTTTTCAGGGATTAGAAAAAAATTTTAATATGAAACTTTTTAATATTTAACAGGAAATTCAAGCGAAACATGCAGTGGAACGTCTAGCTAATCAAATAGGATATAGTACTGGTCCTACACCACAAAATATAGGCAGTTATCGCACACAATATACGAACGGTTTACTTTCTTCATCTTCTTCTGATGATGAAGAGGAACACGAAGTGCACGATGAGGAAGATAACGACAGAAGTGGAACAGTTGTATTTACTGTAGATTCTATAGAAAGCTAACAAAGATTGTTAAATATTGCGATATGCACGAAAAATTAATTCTAAGAATATCAATTTATTTTTGCTTTAATAAAATCGTTTTCCTTACACTGGTTTTATATAATTCGTATATATTTTGTATATATTTCAATTTATGTCGAGTTTGGAAATGAAAGAGTATTCTGGATTAAGATATTTAAGATACTTTATTTTTTGTTTTTGTAACACGTATGTTAATTGTATCCAAAATTATTGATGATCGCTGTGTACGGTGCCGTTGCTTTGACAACTGATTCACCAGCTTGCTTAGTAAGTTTCTGCAAAAACATTTAATAATTAATAAATCTCGAATATTTACATACACAAAAAATTTTTGGAAAGAAAGTGGATATGGAAATATGATCAAATCTTTGATGTGTTAATTACCTTAAGTTTATTCCTCTTTTGAACTTCAAGGATGGCTCTGACACGCCTCTTGTTCTCCAATGTGCGAACCACATCCTTATACTTCCAACCAACTTCATGAGACAATCTGCCCACGTGACAGTACTGAAAATCAAAATTATGTCAGTACCAATATTGCTTCAATATTGCGACAAACTATTTTGCATAAAATTTTATAACTCAGTTTAAGAGATCATCATAAAAGTCAAGTAGACTAATTTCAGACGCAAATTACCATACCATCATTGTTCTTTCATTAAACGGAAATAAAATCCAAGTATAAAAGAGATAGTTTAAATAAATTTTTAAAGGCCGTAGAGAACAGACTTGCATAATGCATAAGGTATAATGCATAAGCGAATCAACCAATCAGAGTCCCTTATTTCCATCCCCACTTCTCGTTCTGTAGATCTTGCATAGTGCATAAAGCACAAAACGCAAGACGTCGAAAAATCCGTAAAGACGTAATTTTTATGCTATGCAGACATCTTAAGCAGCAGAATACGAAGAATGCTCTCATTCTAGCCTATTCTAACCTCGAAATGTGTGATAGGTAAGTACGTTTAGACATCCCAAATAGGAATATGAGTATTTGTCATTATTTACAAAATTATATAATATAATAATATTGTATAATTACATAATATTATCTTATTTCCAGTTGAGACATTCCAAATAGTACAAGCTTATGCGTTGCTACATGTTATGCTATGCGTTATGCATTATGCCTTATGCATTACGCAAAAGTCTGTGCTACGACCTTCAATATACATAATACATCTTACTTTTCTGCCTGGTTTGAGGCACATCACTCTCATAGCACCAGGTACAACAACACGCTTCCTGCGGTCATATGGTGGTGGACAACCTTCGTAAACCTTCAGTCGCCTAAGAGCATCTTTGCCCCTTTGTGTCTTATGTGGGATCATTCCTGTAAACAAGTCTTTTTAATATCTCTTCTTACATTTGCTTCATTATAAGATAGCGTATGAAATCATGGCATCATAAAAAATAATTCTTTTCATAACATCATCAAATAATGTAGGTAAAGGTAAATGTTTGTTAATCATATACAATATCCTTATTTTACGTTATGGTAATATAATCTCAACTGTAAGTACCACGAACTGTTTTCCAGAAGATCTTGCTTGGCGCTCGGAAGTGGAATGGACCACGTGCAGGATTTACGTTACATCTTTTCCTCAGAAAAGACATAAACTTCAACTTGTTTCTAAAAATTGAAAAATACATGTTTAGTATCTATATTGTCTCAATATTAAAACAAGATTGCATAAAATTTCATGATTCAGTTTAGAATTTCTATCATAAAAGTCGGAACAGACTAATTCAGACGCAAATTACCATACCATCATTCTCCACTATATATAATACTAAATAATATTAATTGTACTATTGCTCACGTAATCTTTTCTTATATGAAATAAAGTAAAATGAAATAGTACTAGTATCAATAATAGCTGTTCTTATCAGTATATCTATTCTTATTAGGTAATAAAATAATATTATAAATCAATTTAATCAATAAGAATCCTTATAATTCAAATAATAATGAACAAAGAAGTTAACAGAAGTCAACGTAGTAGATTGCAAAAATAAATTTGAAATTAATTTAAAGTTTCACATATTTAGTATTTTGACAAATATTTATGAAATTTTAAATTAATTTCAAATTTACTGTTGTAATTTAATTACTTTGTTAACTCCTATTAGCTTTCTTCATTCATCATTTAATAAATTTTATTTTAATTATTATTGTTAGTTTTATAATTCAATACATCAAGCACTAAAGTAAGAGGGAGGTGCGTTCCATTTTACAAAAAAAATATCACATGATATATCATTTTATCATTGCTTTAGTAAACAAGGATAAAACAGTATATTGTGTGCATCATGAATAAAAAAAAACCAATACATCTAAGACATGACTAATAAGGATTTGACAAACCTGAAAAAGTTACCACTAATGTTGAGTTGCTCGCTGCGTACGACGATAACTTTGTTACCTTGCAGGATAGTTTTGGCAACGATTGCAGCCAATCGTCCAAGTAAATGACCACGACCATCTATTAATATTGGCTAAAACAGTAATAACCTCCACAGAAATTAAAAATTGACTATCGTACAGTACAAATAATACTTGCTTCTACAATATGTTCACATTGCTTGTATTCTTTGCACTCAGCATCTTCGTTCTTTTTTCAACACCTGAATATACATTTATCTCATTTTAAGTGCAAACACTTTTAAAAATTTCAAGCAACGTGGACAGATATAAGGTCTGTTCGCATTGCATGAAATCCCCAAATATTTTTGCTCTTAAAATGAGATAGATACATATTTTGCCTTAAAAAGAGAGAAAACGAAAATGCCGAGTGCCAAAAGTACAAGTAACGCGAACAGACCTAAGATATGTTTGCATTACTTGAACTCGCTAAACATTTTTGTACTTAAGATAAATATATATTCAGACGTTGAAAAGAAAGAACGCCAAGAGAGATGCTTGGTACAAAAAGTGCAAACAACGCGAACAAACCTATAATGCATAGAAGTATTATACGCGAGCCACAAAATTTGCATGCGATTTGGAGCACGAAAATATTAAATCGAAAAGATCAAATCTAGTTTGGAATTTATACCGTTCGATACACAATGCGATCCGATCTCCGCGTGGAATATATGATCAGCTTCGGATACTACCACGTGCATAACGTTCAGTAGCAAAGCAGCTTTTTTTGGGGTAACAGCGAATTTCCGAGGAACATTAAAGGACTCGTGCATTACTCCACATGTTAAGTAATCGCGATCGCGTACATACACCGCGTAAGAGTTACTTAAACTGTCAGAAATATGGAATTTCTGGATACGAACCTTCTCGCTGAAGCCCGTCATCTTGAGACCTTACCGGAAAGGAGTCACACAACGAGAGAAACACGCGAGTTTCTACCGGAAGACAACTACGCCGCGCGCTGCGCGCAGAGCAACGCAGTGTAACCAACGTCGGAATCTGTTACTACGATTTTTCCCTAGAAGGTAAGAAAATTTTTTCTAGAAGTAAAGAAAATGAAGATATTCCACGTTCAACAAATATAATTGGAAAACAATTGGAGAAAGCTCCGATTGCACACATTGCATGTTGCACACATGCGTTGCTAATTGGCTAATTTAAAAATAAAATATCATTGGTAAAGCAGTGAAAAAACGGAAGGATCCCGTTTGCCTACAATCCCGATTGCACACACCACTCATATCAGCTGGTGCCTAGTAATTTTTTACTGCTTTACCAATGAGAATATTTTATTTTTAAATTGGCCAATTAGCGACGCATGTGTATAACATGCAATGTGTGCAATCGGAGCCTTCCCGAAAAATTACTAGGCCCCAGCTGATATGAATGGTGTGTGCAATCGAGATTGTAGGCAAACGGGATCCTCCCAAACAATTGACTTGAAGTATGTTTTCTACACTATATACTCTTCGTTGTTTTCTATACTGATTCAGCTATAAAAAAAATAGACCTCATAGTGAACACAACGGTTGTCGAGTGAACGCTCAGTAATAGTTGTTTATATACGATTGGAGTAATCTTTTTAGATCCATAATAAATCTAGAAGAATGTACCAATGACTGCGTTCAGCGGACTCAACAGTTGAGTGAGCGCTCACTGTTATTGGTATATTCTTTTAGATCATCCATTCAGCATTTTAGATCTGGAAGAATACACTAATAGCAGCAAGCGCTTACTTAACTGTTGAGTCCGCTGAACGCAGTCATTGGTACATTCTTCTAGACGCAGCCAATAGCTACGTTCCGTAGAGAAAACTGATCGATGGCTGTGTTCAGCAGACTCAACAATTAAGTGAGCACTCGCTGCTATTGATGTATTCTTCTAGATCTAAAATTTGGTTGGACGATCTAAAAGAATACACTAATAACAGTGAGCGCTCACTCAACTGTTGAGTCCACTGAATGCACTGAATGCCTATTGGCTGCGTTTAGCAGACTACAACAATTTTACAATTATTTTGTGATTGTCTGCTGAGATCATTCTTCTAAATAATCTAAATCTAAAAGTATAATTCAATCAGGGCGAAGAAAATTTTCAACAGTTGCAAAATAAACGTTCTGCTGAATACAGCCATCGAGCGCTTATTGATTTTTTAATATGATTGGTGTGGATTTATCTTTAACCCAGTCAGAAATGATAATGGAATCGACATCGAATCGATGTCGATTCGACGTCGTTCGACGTCGAAAGCGTTGAATCGACGTCGATTAGATATCGATTCCGTTATTATTTCTGATTAGGAATTTTTCAGGTTTTAAGCTAATATTGTGATAATCGGTTTTTATATTTAAAATTAAAATACTATTTTAAAGTTGAGTCCACAGCGCTAAGATAGTCTTTTATAGCTCCTACACACAAAACGCGGCGGAAATTAGCGCGATTCAGCAAATCGATTTATTGGTTTTCCATAAAAACTAAAAAATGATTGGCTACTATCTGCGGAAGCCATTAAAACAAGGACAAATTATGAATACCGGTCACAATCTGAACTCAAGTAAGTACTTGAAAAATTTTTTAAATAATCGAATAAGTTCGATCAGA